ATGTTGGATTATGTTTATAGCTGTCTAAATTATTTTTTTGTCCTAAATTATGCTTTGTCCTCCACTTGACTAATTGTTCCAACACCCCCGATTTTCATGCTCTACATTTTCATCTCCCCAAATCCTTATTTTTCACCGCAACGTCATGAATCTCTGGCAATTTAATTTCTCAGTAATACTAGTTTTTAAAATAAACAAAAAACTCCTTTTTCTGACTGGCTGGCCCCCCTATAGGAATACTTTCGTAATACAGAAACTGTCGACGATATCCTCGTCCGAAGAAACATCGATTTTAATTAAATGTTACAAATTAAGAAGGGGAAAAGGAGAAGGAGTTAAAAGAGTAGAAAGGAGGGGAATAACTGGAGTAAGGAACAGAAGACATGTGGAAGTAGGAAATAGAGAATTAAAAAAATGGAAAAATAGAATATAAATGGTGTTATGACGAAGTTGATAGTGCAAGTATCGCACCCCCCCAAAAAAAGAAAATAGATAGAAAAGTTACAAATGTCAGCGTTGTTGCTTGGCAGTCGGTAGTCAGCTCGGTGTAGGAAAACTTTTGATCGTTAGTGTACTTACCGGTGATGCCACCTGCACCGTTCTACATCTCCCGGTGTCCAAGGAACAGCGGCGGCACGTTACCGCGTTTTCTACGAGTTTCTGTCAATTCAAGTCCCCTCGCATGCATTTGTCCGCGGATACGATTACTTTTCCAGGCCGTGGTTGGTACCAGATAGGATCGCCGTTCTCGCATCAACAACACAGATCGTTGGGCGCGTCGGGCCGACAGCGTTTGCACGCTAGGGCCCGTTCACGCTGATCGGAATCATACCCGTGCGCGATGCAACGTGTTTCGCGCCGTGGCAAAGGAATACTCGATTTCACGGCGCGAGCTATACCAGTTAGACCCGTAAATTTCTGCGTCCACGTAGCCGTGCCGCAACCGTGAATTACGTGCTCTCTGATATCTTGGTTTGAGCGATTTGAGTCGAGGCCAGCCTCGCAGCCAGTGAGCTGTCTGTCGGCCCCTGTGAAGGTCCGCGCGAGCGGCCCTTCGGGCCACTTTGCATAGCCAAGGCTCATCGGCTACGCCGGACCTCCCACAGCCCGACCGGCTCTTCACCGTCGGAAATCTGCCCTCCCCCCCGCCCCTGCGTACCCCGCGTTTCGCCTTTTCTCCTTTCCTCTCGCTCTCCCGATTCGTCGTTCGACGATCGCGCTCTTGTAATCCACCGAGGACCATTACACAAGTGCCCCGAACGGCTTACGATCCTGTTCAAATATTTTTTTTTAAACCGATATACAACGCCCCTCGAAACGATACCACCCTTTACGTACAGTTGCGTTCAACATTCAGCGGACAGGTAGCGGAAATAGCTGTGAATTAAATTTAGGGGGCCATTTTGTACGCAAGAAAAAGAGATGTTTCTTTGTCATTTTTTTTTGCGGGCTATTAAAGAGCGATTAATTCCAGGCTTTGTGGATATATTCATTACATATTTAACTGTATTTAAGAATTTTTTCAAGCCATAATATCTAGGTAGTGGACAGTTCTTCAAAAGTTACCATTTTCAGCAATATTACTAATCGTAATCAGTCGTATATTCCATTTGTAACGTCGCTTAAAGTAATTCCTCTACTTTCCTCGAAGCTCACCGAACACCACAACAAGCTTCAAACAAAAATCGCCTCTCAGCAAGAAGTAAGATAAATCGCGAAACAACGTTCTCTTTTGTGGCATTGGATCATTGCTCATTTCGAAACCAATTACAATTAATCCGTGAAACTCGCTTACGCGAATACAGAAAAAGGAATCGTGTCAAACGTTGAACCAGAACCGTATTATTCTGTTACCGGTTCGAGCAATGGCTGCCCGCGTCCTTAACTATCACCGGCAGATATATCTACCGGTATTTCCAGTCATATTTCTATTCTCATGACCGAACAACCTGTGCAGCCGACCTTGACTCGTAACACGCTCCCTTCTGGCGTCTGTAAAAAATACTACCGTCCAGCCCTCTTTTGCTAACAGCCGTGACGTGCTTAATGCCTTTCCTCGCGCATTTATCGAGGCAAGTGTCTAGAGAGTCTAGACTTTATACTGTACACCGAAGTATACAGGATCCTTTCGACCTATACGATACTGAATCATTGGACGCCTATATGGGGTGACGAAAAAACCGAGTCGTTAAACTTCCAGGCGCGTTCCACGTCTCGCGAGCTTAGTTTACGACCGGAACGTGTGTTTTTTAGACGCTACGCAATGAAAAATCGGGAAAACGATGAATACAACAAACCTTTAACTTGCACGAATTTGTAGATTTTTTCATTTTTAAATTTGATTTTTTTTGTGAAAAAATAACTAATAAACGTCGCTAAAAACAACTGATAAAACGCAATAAATTTGTAGATTTTTCTAATTTTTAAATTTGATTTTTTTGTGAAAAAATAACTAATAAACGTCACTAAAAATAACTGATAAAACGCAATAATCTTCGACTGCCAGATGCGCATAGACAGTTGTATTTTAATTCATCGTCAATCAGCCTGTAATTGTTATGAAATGTTCTGAAAGATATCTACCAAGAATGTGTCATTTTAATCAAATAAATCTGCTAGTTTATTTTATTTTAAATTATTTGGGAAATCTTTCAGACAGGTTACATGTGGATCTTCTTTAATTTCAATCGATCTGAAGTCCAGTACAGTTCATTTATGGCAGTTTAATCTAAATAGATTTCTTTAGGCGCGCGAAGGAAATTGAGCCTTGAAAATATTGGTCCATGGTCATCGAATGTTGCAAACATATACTGTTTACTGAACGGATGATTGAATCGAGTCGGACTGGTTCCGAGTGCAATACATATCTCGCCCTGAACACACTCTCGTCACCGTGGGTTTATACAGTGTGGCGTAAATGCCCGAAGCAGTGCGATATTACCCGACTTTGCCGCGAACAGCCGTTAAGAGCAATCTTAATTCACTGAAATCGTTCGGGAGCCACTTACCGTATACAAACATATCGATAATGATCGATGAAACTTGTTCGTGCATTCCGATTGCTTCGCATACATCGTATAAATGCCAATTGACCAAGTGATCGTGTTAAGCCGCTTGCGCCACTGAAACTTTCCAAATGTCACATTTAATCCTTATAAACATCGAGGGTAACGAATACTGGGAAATAAAATGAAATAAAATACCGATCTTGTTACGTGAATTGAAAACATGTAATAACACAGTGAAGGATAAAACTAATTTCTTCATGTACAAAATTATATTCTATTATTTCTATTTTTGCACTCATTACCAATTACTTAACTCGAACTTTTAAATTAAAAATTAATGATTGTAATACAGAAACGAAAATTTGTATTAAAATGGGAGTACGTATGTATAATACTTTGTTCGAATATGGTCGTGATTGGATTCATTTTTATTGTTAAAACCTCATCTGCCTGTTGATTTTATTATTTTTATTTTTATTTTTTATAATCGTTTGTTATATACGGTTTCTCGGTTAAATCGAAACGTCAGGTAACTGACCTCACGTGAAATTATGGTCGACGCAATTAATTGTAAGTTTGAGAAAGCAGAAGGGATGAAAGCGTTGCAGTAACTCGGGGGACATAAAGTTGCAATAAACCGGGGAATACTGCACGAGCCACACCGAGTGCGTTGAAATAGTTTATTAGATAAATTTAAGACGCAATGTGCGACGAAGAAGCACGTTTCCACGATTGGAGAATGGCGGCTGTCACGTTTAGCGGACATGCGAGCCCAACAAACGATTCCAACCGAAATCTGTATACCCTTGGATTAATTCGTGACGTTAGGGAGAGATTCAATGCGCAGCGTGTTCGTGAAAAGGGAGAATAGCCCTATCGCGTGCTGAAACAATACCGATTAAGCCTTTGCGTTATTGCGCGGAACAAAAGATGAACAACGGGAAGGAGGAACAAGGAGTTAACGATAATAGGCCTGGTCCACGGTGACAACGAAGGAACACGCGCCATTGTTGTAAAGCACGACTCGTCGTCCGAAAAGAGTCAGCAATTAAACGCGTAACGAAACTAATTGCCACAGGACGGTGTTTACACCGTTCGACGAACGATATGGCCGCATATTGTTTTATGACAATAATCGCCCACGAGTGCATTGGACGCAAGGATGCAACAAAGGAATGAATCACGTCTCTCGAAATTCAATCATGGAATCGTTTCATCGCGTGATTTGTAGTTTGTTTTTTGGTATCGTGCGTTATTAAACACGGTCTACGTGTTTGTAATTAACTAAAATTGCTAATTTTACGTTTGATACACAGAGTGAGGCACGAACTAGCCACGATTTTTCAACCCCTCTCGATAGCCTGACAAAGAAACGTTTCTTATCGATGCTAATTGCAGTAAATTGCAGTTGCATTATTAAATTAAGGTCACTCATATTTTTAAATGGAACTAGGTATTTTTAATTTTATAGTATTGTAGGCGACGTCGAGATGAATTCAACGACCTGCTACACTATGATCTTCAGATGATTTTCAGATTTAAGCAACTGCAATTTCTTGTCGATTAAATACTGGAAACATTTCTTTGTCAGATCGTCGAAAAGGGCAGACAAATCGTGGAGACTTAGTCGTGCCTCAGCCAGTATAGTTTAGAGAGTTTTTGGTTAGGTAGCCGTCTAATCTAGTGTTTAGTTTAAGGTGTATCACCGCACTGGAGCAACCGGAAACATCGAATTAAACATGACACTAAAGGAAATGGAACATGAGTTATGTTTTTTTGATATAATTGCCACGCTCGAGAATGAGCTACGATGACCGTTGAAATTTTTCCTAGGGGTGGCCAAACACCCTGTATAATATTGTATAAAACTTAATTGCACAATAGTTATATCATTTTGATTTTTAATTCTTATTTTCCCTACTTGTGCAAGTTATGACTAAATTGGTCGGTTCAAGTACAGCTATTTAGTGTTTGTTATTTACAATGTTGCAGCGGAATCGGATATCTGCACGTTCGCGGCAAGGACAGAACATTTCCACATCGTTAACAAACCATCAACGGCATTATTTACGTCGAACAGCAGACCGAAGGCCCTGAGGGAATTGTACGAGGCCGCTGCCATAGTCGCTGTCAGAAGTTTGGATAGCCTGAGAAGGGATGGCAGTTCCATGGATATGTTCCTCTGCACGCCGGTCCTTGGCAAGAGAAGGCGGGACCAGAGCCTCGACATCGAATCCAGAATCGTGAGTATATTACCCCGTATGTGAAAGTGCAACCACGTCCCGGGAGATACGAATTATCGGATTAACGATTCGTTCTCATAATTGTTTCACTCTTACGATCGAAATCGTGAATTCTCGATCCGTTGCAAAACTCTCTTATCTCTTGTAGAACATAACAATCTAGGATTAATTCTTCAAACCAGAGCGTATCTGAAAATTAGTAAATTTTTCTTTTCCATTTTAAGCTAATATCCACGAATTTTAATACTTGTAACTCACGCATATAACATCCGTTTCATTTCTATCAGACTTATATATAAAATTATTAAATTTAAATTATATTATTATTTATAATTATTAAAATTAAATTATATTATTATTTATAATTACTAAATTTAAATTATATTTTATTATTTTTTTTAAAATAAATTATTAATAAAACATTTTTTTTTTAAGACAAAAATTTGGTAAATTATATTAGGTTAATTATTCTGAAATTTAATTATAAGAGTCTTTATCTGCCGTACTGTTGAAACAGGAAATTTATTTTCGTAAATAAATGATGCATCGTACTTTGTAATATTCATTAGGTCCGATGGAACGTGTATAATCAGTAATTCAAAATTAAACGTACCATTGTTGGGATCTGTGTTCATCCAGAATTTCATCGATTCCCTTTGTAACTAATTAATAATTATTAAAATATTATTAATCGAGCAAGATATAGTAGGTTGTACCATATGTTCGTATCGAGTTTTGTACTGCTATTTAAAATTGGAATTTTATGAAAAAGAGTAAATCCCTTCTCAGTATATAATAAAACCTATTTGTTTCAAATTTATATGAATTGTTAATGTTGGTATGTTTAAAATTTCGTAAATCCCTTGACCTGACCAATTTTGTTTCTTTTCTAAATTACAAATTTTATTTTAATTTTAAATTTTATTTGTAATTTAGAAAACGGTACGAATTTATGGGACGACTTAATAATTACATTCTAGTCGCCTAGGTATCTCTTGAGTCGATTTATTGTTGAAATATAAGCGTGTTAGAAAGTACACCTAGTAGCAGGTGAAAGTATTGCATATCTTTGTTTCTGTCTAATTTTCAACGTATCGTAACAAATGTGCTGACCAACATGTAGCTGACGATTAACAGCAACAAAATAAGTGACAAATGATCGGAAAAAATCGAGTCGATCGAGGTTTTGAACGCTGAGACTTTCGAAATTTATCTCAGAATGCAATAGCTAAGCTGCGCGAATGGTAGCCACGAGTTAGCAATGAACGATTAGATTTAGCTAGTTTCGTGTCCGTAGGATTTGGTACACAATCTCGTCGGTATGGCCGGGCTGCGATAGGATTGCTCCGCATAAACAGGTTCAATGGGAGATGTCATGGGAAGTCATGTACATTAAAATCTACATGGTGGTCCCTGTCGACCACGTGAACTGCTCTATAGCGATACGTATCGTTGGGTTGCATTGTCGTTTCGTTAATGCACCGGCCTGTTAATAATGCACGATCCGCTGTTTCTGACTCATACGATCCGTAGTGATTTGCTCTTGTTAAGAACGATTATCGAGCGTCGTATCTTCTTATTATTTTCCATTTACTTCTCCAACAACGCCATTGCCAGTCGCGCGTATTTTAATCTTCGTCGAAAATAGACAATTTTTCAGATCGTCGCTTGAGATTCAACTTCTTCAACACGTTGACTGCCAAAACGTTCACTTTCGACAATTGTAAACTGACTTAAAATTTGTCTTAGCACTTATAAGAAACATGTAACTTCCTTTTCGTAAAGAAATCCCTAAAAAGACCACAAAAGTGGAACTCTAAACGAGATCCGAGCTGAACGAAACTACGGGCAAGTGAACGTACGAGTCTAAAGTTTTTGTCTATTATTCGGAAGTGACATTTGGCTAGTTGCCCAAGTCAGAATCTCATCCTGAACATGGCGGCGCTATATTGAAAATTTTAGGGTGGTTTTATAGCGTAGAGTTCGTCGTCCGCTTGTGATCGTAAAGTTTTCCATATTTTCGTTTCGTTATTACGTTGTACGATCTTACAGACCGTTTCCTCAATTTTTTCTCGCATCGAGCAGCCCAAGTCCCAGACGGTTTCACGACATCGAATCGGAATTCGTTTCCGTTGGCCTGTCAAGCGTTTAAATCACTGCTCGTAGCTACGTGAGCCATAAACCCGCTACTCGTATTACAATTCTCCAGCCGGGCATTCACGGCAACAGCTATTAACAATTGGCCATTATCGAAAGTCAATCAACCCTCGTCGTTTCAAGGATTTCCCGGCCACTGTGCGGACGATCCCTTCTTTGTGCCCCGTTTCGCGGTTCCCGGGGCGTTTTCCCGGACGATATCGACGAACAGACGCGACACAGGATGCATAGAAGGTAAAAGGAAATTAGAATCGACTCGAACCACGGTTGGCAACGTCGGAATTCTTCCCATAACGTCGCGAGTTTCTCCGGGGATCCGTAAGAACCTCCGTGGCCGAAGCTCAACGAACGCGAATCAGCCAACGCTCATGCCTTTCGTTCCTCTTTTCTTCCGTCCCCGTGCACGGTGTCTCTCTCTTCATCTTCTCCTCGCTTCCTTATACCGAGCGTCCTTTAATTCAGCACGGATTAAATTCCACCGGGGCACGATCAAATCCAGATATAGAATATGTGATTCGCGTACGCGAAACGCGTCGGTTCGCCGGCTCTTACGCTGAATCGTGATTCAATGTAGATGAGGTAGCGGTTGCACGAACGCTCGAAACCCTTGTCGGTTCTTTTCCACCGATAGAAACCCTCCAGGCGGTTAAAAAGAAGGCATTTTGTCGCGTGCGGTGATTCCTTTCTTCGGCGAATGAAGCATCGTGCAAATAGAAGATAAAGGTGACCCAGATGCCTCCATCCGTGAATATCGGAGGAATTGGTTTGTTATCGGAGGCAAAGAAACAATCGAGAACGTAGACCTTGATCGGTCCTTGATACTTTGAACGCGGTGCTTGTTAAACGCGCTACGTTGCTGAGATTTATCGAGCACCCGATAGACGCATCCATCGAGCACGATGCAAGCAGGTTGCCAGTCAGTTACACATTTCTTCATAGCGAAGAAACTCCCGCGGCGATAGTCCTACCGCCTTTCCCTCTATTTTGCGGACTACCTGGCTCCACTCGGTCCAAAAAGATCGAAGGTTGACCAGCCCTGACGTTGCTGTTTCGCGGAAGGTAATTCGAAAAGAACAATGCCAGAAACTGGTCAGTTTTGGGACCCAAGGGCAACATTCTTACAGGGTGTAACAGCGACGAGCAGAAATTTAAACACAAAATGGTAGCGACGACGAAACGAGAGTATTTTTACGACTGATTAATTACGACTAAAATGCTGAGTAACAATGTTTATTAAAGAATATTTTTTAAACATACATTCATATGTATAGTCTGTAGAATATCAATTTGTTTTTCTTGAATATCTGAAAATTCATACTTTGGGAAAATTTCTTCGAAGACAAAACATTATTTTAAGAGTTTTCAATTCTCTTTCTCTAAAAGAATTTTATAAAATAAGTGCATGTATAATTAAAAAATGAACAAGGAATAATAAAAGATCAAAAAAGATCTCTAATTTATCTAGTAGCCAAAAATATAAAAGAGAGTATTTGTCCATCGATGGTTAATGAGTCTAAAACACTACAGACCTCGAAACGTGTTCTAACTGTATCTTCATTAATACCGGTTTCGACCTAGTGTACGTACATTTACAGTATTGTTGCGTGTTTAGGAAGTGGTAATGCTTGTACATGGCGGGAAATCTAATAGAACTAGAAGCACATGGTCATTTATTAGAAGCAGCACCTGGTCGATCTAACACGATGAGTCATGTGATAACGCGAAGTTCTGTCTTCTTTTTACCTTCCATCTATCGGAAACGAATCAACTCTCTTTCATAGTAGGCAGGGTGACTTTCATATATTTCGTGATAAATTGGTCTAAATGACGTCTGGGATTGCTTATTGCTGGCGAAGCAATTTAGTGCATCGATGTGATAATGAGACTTCGATACTCTTCATGCAAATCGAGACTAAAATTTCGAGTTACTTTAAGATTGTCCTGAGACTAAAAAAAGTTTAAAAATCTCGAGTATTTTGAAAATATTGGATACTCAAAAATTCTTGGCAGTTTTAACAAATATATGAACGATAAGATGGTGCATTGTCGTGCAGTAATCTCTAACTACCAGATACAAACAAACCACTTAATCATTTAATCTGTTATAGATCAGTTTGTAAGTTTCGAATTGTTATGAAATTTTTCTACGATACCAAGGTGATATCAAGATGAATCGACTGATGTAATAAAAAATACACGATTCCATTTAAAAGAGATGATAATGACGTATGTCTTCTACACGTCCACCTATAAGAAAGCTACTATCATTAGAACGTGCCCCTCTCGAAACCATTCAACCTCGTCTGAAAATCTAGCTTTGTCAATTTTTCTGATAAAAATGTCGATCTTGTCATTTCTTCGACAAATATACTTTGTAAAACAATCTCCTAAGGTAAATACGAAATCTCCCTTCAAGCTTTTGTTTCAGAATCTTAATACAGTCCATCTCTTCGACCATTTTCATCTTGTTTGCAACATGTACACTGACCAAAGTGCATATAGCATAAATGAATTTATCTCGAGGTTGGATAATTTAAATATCATGTCATCGAATTTATTATATATGGTTTTAACAAAGACGAAACGATCACAGTATTTTTACGAGTCTAATCCAGAGCAGGGATGGATAAATCATCAGTTCCTTTGAACAACGGGCAAGCTCGCACGTAGCGACGATTATGAGTCTTAATATAGTCCATCCATTTTCACCTTGTTTGTAACGAGTGCACCGGGTAGAAAGGGACCAGTCTGTAATATAATCCGTTCCGTATTCTGTGCGTGAAACCCGGTTGGTCACGAGGTGACATCCGACAATGGTTGTGCCCACGCAGGGCCGTAGTGCGTAAAACACGTCGGTCGCTTTTCGCCGCAGCGTCAAGTTTCGTTGAAACAGAAGCAATGTAGCAGTACCGTGCCCCCTTGCAACACCCTAACCCAGCTAGAATCAAAGAGGCGATGGCAACTTTAATTTCACGTGTAATTCGTCGTTACAGCCGGCCGCTATCGAAGATCTGCGAAGATGGACGTCCACGGAGGCGCTGGGGGACGTCACCGTACCACCGGATTGCATGTCCAGGATCCTCGGGGATACTACGGACGACGACGCCGTCGATCACAAGCTACCCAGCCCCGAGGAGCAGGTTCAAGCCATCGCTCTCAAGTAAGGACATTTATGCCACCGTAAAAATATTTAATAAGAGACAGTAAACTTTTATCGATCGTCCGGATACTAAATTTCGTACGATACGAAACGCTGGTTTCGTTAACGGGTTAAACGACGTCGAAGCGTCTTGAAATCACATAGATCGTAATTTTTTTTTTTTAGGAAAAGTAATATAAATGAAACATTTCGTGACAAAGTTTGTCCCTTTATTTTATATTTCGTGTATTTTTACGAAACAACAGCTTCGATCATAATGATAAACGAGCCAAAAAATGAAGCAAACTTGTAATATTGGCATAGCAGTGTATTAATCACATAGACCCTTCGTAATTTCTTTTTTTTAGGAAAAGTAATATAAATGAAACATTTCGTGACAAAATTTGTCTCATTATTTTATGTTTCGCGTATTTTTACGAAGCAACAGCTTCGATCATAATAATAAACGAGCCAAAAAATGAAGCAAACTTGTAATATTGGCATAGCAGTGTATTAATCACATAGACCCTTCGTAATTTCTTTTTTTAGGAAAAGTAATATAAATAAAACATTTCGTGACAAAGTTTGTCCCTTTATTTTATATTTCGTGTATTTTTACGAAACAACAGCTTCGATCATAATGATAAACGAGCCAAAAAATGAAGCAAACTTGTAATATTGGCATAGCAGTGTATTAATCACATAGATCGTAATTTCTTTTTTTAAGAAAAGTAATACAAATGAAACATTTCGTGACAAAATTTGTCCCTTTATTTTATATTTCGCGTATTTTTACGAAGCAACAGCTTCGATCATAATGATAAACGAGCCAAAAATTAAACAAACTTGTAATATTGGCAGTGTATTAAGAAATATGGATTAGATTGTTTTTAACCATATAAAATAACTTCTTGTAAATCGTATTTATTTTCATAATTATCGTTCTAATAGCACTATCGCCATTTAATCAAGATAAGGCAGAATCGTTTAATTCGATTACATTGTATTAACTGATTAGAAACACAATCTAGCAAATATATGAAACTGATAAAAGGTTGACGGAAATAGAGCTCTCGATGTGCCATTCGAGTTCGAGCGATGTGACAGTAAAGTACATTAAGAGTCCGTTTCGCGTATATATTAACGGTGATTTTTATCGTTGTACATTTCGAGTCGTAAGAGAAATATGATTCGTGTCGCAGATTCCCCGCTGAAATCGTGGCGGTGGATGTCAGCGGAAAAGGATTCCAGAGAATGACCATGAGAAGAAGATCTCTGCTGTCCGGTCCGGAAAGTCAAGAAACATCTGTGAAAAGACGATCGCGGCCCCGCAGGCCCAGGGGAAAGAGACGAAACACGATCGCTGGTACCGATCAGAAGGAAATTCGTCAGGCTATAGGAGGGTGAGTTTCATCGAATAACACCATACAACAGATCGTTGCATAAGTATTTGTCAAGTAAACTTTATTCGAACAAAATGTGTTCGAAAATACCGATCACTCGCAGAATGGCCATCTTCCCGTACGATTTCTCGCACTTTGTCGATGCACTTGTCACAGAAATTATTTTAATCCCGAAAACAATTCCAGTGCTGGTTTCAGTAAGCCCAACTCGGAAGTTTCCGTTTTGCAAGAAATTCTACCTCGGTACAGCCATCAATTTTATCGATACTCGTAGTAATACATTATATTCTTCTTTATTTATACTTTAATCATTAACTAAAAAATGGAAATTATTTTAGTCGAGAACTTGATCTTGTTATTGTTATCGGTACTATTTTAATTGCCGAAACCTTACGAAACACGTAACGGAAGGTACAAATACGGAAGAATAATAAAATCGTAAAGTAAGACACTCTGTACAAAATCAAAACACGGAACGAGAGAAACAAAGAGTAGTAATCTTGGGTGTAAAGCACGCAGGGAAGCACCGATCGATTTAATGCGTTGAGTTGCGGAAACGATCGATAGCGTCGTGATGATTAGTAAGTATACTCATACGATTAATAAAATTAAAATTAAACGTGTGCAATGGTTTTGAATACAGTAAGGCATGTTGTCTTAGATATGCGTATAAAATATAGCGGATCGACGGGGAGGACCGATCTCAAGGCGCGCGTTGCCACTTTTATTTTCAGGGAAGCGATCGGCGAAGAAGCGGAGGAGACGATGTCGGCCATCGCGTCTAGGACCCAACGATCGGCGAGCACGGACATCCTCGGCTCGTCGAAGAAGGAATCGCCGACAGAGAAAAAGTCCCATTTCAACACGTTGAAGGCGTGGGGTATGTCGAGACTGAAACTGATCAGTCCGAAGTCCGCGCAACAGCAACAGCAACAGCAACAGCAACAGCAACAGCAACAGCAGCAGCAAGACCAACAGGAGTCGTCCGCTTCGGGTACAGAGAGGTCAGAGCTGGATCAAGGTCAGTCGAGATCACCGGAAGAAACAAATATTTACGAAACGGTAACAACCAGGCGCAGGAAGGACAAGTCTCACGAAAGGAAGCCCAGCTCGTCGAGCTCGAGCGGGAAGAGCACCTCGAGCATACCGGTGTCTGTTCCGACCACGGAAAGACAACCGAGCGTGAAATTGCGCGAAAGCGCCGCCCAAAGGAGAGAAAGACGAAAGGGAAGCAGTCGCGACGACCCACCGCACTCGAGCTCTGGAAACTGGAGTGCATCATCCGAAAGTGGAAGGGCGAGTATTGGAAGCGAAACGACCACCACCACGCATCAACCAAGGTATGCCTGTCGGAGGTTCGAAGATTATCACTTTAACGCTATCTAACGGAAACACGGACACCTTCGTACCATTATTTAACACGCATTGCCCTTCAAAAGCTTGAAACCAACCCTCGATCGTGAAATGTAACCATTTTCTTCTCATTATAACCCCTTTACGTATTTAATTCGAAGTTGTCAAACTTATTGGGGTAGTTCTCTCAGTATCGGACACTTGAGGCTTTTTCTAAATAATTAGCAAAATATAATGTGTTTTTTTTATACTCTATACTGTTTTATTTATAATTTAACAATATACAGCAACAAAACAAAAACTACTTTCTTCTCATATTAACCCCTTTACGTACGATTTCATTTGAATTTTTCAAACGTATAGGGGTAGTTTTCCTAGTGTCGTACACTTGAAGTTTTTTTTAAATAATTAGCAAAATATAATGTTTTTTCTTATATTCTATACTATTTTATTTATAATTTAACGATATTAAAAATCAATATACAGCAACAAAACAAAAAGTACTTTCTTCGCATATTAACCCCTTTACGTACGATTTCATTCGAATTTTTCAAACGTACAGGGGTAGTTCCCCTACATTGTACACTTGAGGTTTTTTTAAATAATTAGCAAAATATAATGTGTTTTTTTTATATTCTATACTGTTAATATTATTATAATAGTTAACTGAAACTTTGGTTAACTCTTAAGTGGACTCTCAATCTTAGTTTAGTCGTTGAACCCAGGTGAATTTATAGTCATCTCTCTCTTTCACTTACCATGCACCAGATTCTTTAAAATGACAATTGTTTTAATAAGTTTAAAAATACGTGAAGATATTAAAAATTTGAAAACTAAAATAGGTGAGATTAATTTACGACTAATGTCGAGCACAGAGTATACGATGCTTCTTTATTTTAAACAGTCGCTGAAAATGATTTTTAGTTAAATTATTTTTATTTAAATTATTTTTCTTTGCATACATTTTTATCTTTGAGAGACACGTCTCCCTATTAAACACAAATGACAATTTTACCATTTTGTCTACTTTTCGTATGGTTCTGTTAATGGACTAAAAATTCGAAAGTGTTCCAAACTTTTGAGCGACAATACGTGTACGATTACTGATATATTCTAACAAATGACCTTATTCACTTTTCGCAAGGAATTGGCCGAACTCGTATCGTCTTCTATTTTTGTAGGTTTGTGGAACTGGGTGGTACAACCGGAAAGGAATGGATTCCTCATTCAAATATTTCTCTGCAATGTAGAGACCGCTTGTTTTCGTTCCAGGTTTCATTGTGGAAGGAATCGATTTTGAAGATTTGTTGGACGTACGCGTAGATTTCTGATTCGTCGATTCAACGAATCTTACGAGTCAGCATAGACTTTCATCAATTTATATAACATTGGCAAAGTAACGAGCACCTTTTGCATTACATTAACGAAGTCGTGTGTGCTAAAAATAAAATCGTACGTGGTTAAAAGAAAAAGTAATGCATGATTTCGAACAAGTAAAATGACGGAAAGAATATTAGCAATTCTCGAACCGATATATGTAATTGTAAAGCATTAACGAAAAAATTGAGTTAAAGATCCGTTTAATATACCATAACCAACTAATCTTTAAAACCGATTTTCTGCTTATATCGAGATAAAGAATAATTTCCTTTTGTACCACGAATTATGGAACATACTCGCTTTGCACGAGTCGCTATAATGTAGTATTATTCTTCGACTGAGCCACGGGGGTGGAGGAAAAAGAATCTGAGTGAAACTTTTGAACAGACGCAGAGGCAAGCGATCTAGGAAAAAGAATAAAAAAAATTACTTGCCTGACTTCTGTTCAAACGTGATTTATGTATTTTATATGTATTGTACATTATAATTATAACTCTCAAACGTATAATGTTAATTTACGAAAAGTCTAGATAATGTATAAGATAATAAATTTTGAAGCAAGTCACCCGTATGATACTCCTAATTCTCAGCCTAACTATCAAAAGACCTACAGAGTGATAACCAATTGTTCCTGGGTAAACGTCAATTGCTTGTTACAAATTATATCGTACATTAAAACTTTAAAAACTTTATTGAAATACCGTGATATGACTAAGATTCTTTAGAATCAATGAGGCTGCAGATCGTAATTATTATTCTTCGCAAACTTCGTAGTGAAGTAACCCTTAATTGCCACGTGTCTGTTATACTTTACAAGTTTGGTGCGATGATACAATGTGATCGATTAATGCGCGATGAATGTGCTGTAAAGATTTGCTACTAGCCTCTAAATTTTAGATCAATTTCTCGCTACTTTCTTAAGATTTGCTTTGGGACGTATGTATTGTGTACAGATCGTAAGTTGTCGAGTATCCGTAAATCCGATTTTTTAGATTCTTAGCGATTACATTGGCTCGATGTTTCCTTTTATCGATCTTTTTCATGCGATATATTTGCACATGTGACAATCCATCGGCAACTTATGATTTCTGTATAGTATATAAATACATTAACCCTTAAAAGGCGGGCTTCAGCTTGGGCAGGTTAAAACTCTTTTGTTTTCAATTACATAACACTTTCTATTTCTAAAACTATTTGAGATCAAACGTCTTACCAAACAGAATTATTTAATTAACAGTCGGTTCTTTATAGAGTACTTTCTATTGAGTTTATACTTCTTTTTTTATTACGATCGGGGATTTTTAATAATTTAAAGAAACTCTCGGTACTTGAAAAAGCTTGTGGTAAATGGTCTGGCCTGGGTCCATTTATGGTAACGCTTCATTTTGCTCTTTTATCTTTGTTTATATGTGACGATACGTCTCTGATAATTGTAACTTCTCGAACAAAGATGATCAAAGACACTGTACTCAGATTTTAGTAGATTTTAACATCTCTTAAAAATTGTGTGACAAATACTAGAACGTGTCTTTCGATACAAGCGTTTCCATAATGGAACCGTCGTCGTTTAAGGGTTAACAGCGTGCTTGGTTCTAAGGATCAAGGCTTATGCGTTTAAAATTCGTCGTGAAACTGTTATTTTTACCATACTCTTTAACGATGAAAAACTGTTTCTACGTAGATCCACAACGACAGCATCGATCGGCACATCGTCAACGTCTTTGAGTCACATGCGACGATTTAAGGGACGAGACACCTCAGCCTCATCCTCGGTGACGTCAGAGGGTACATTGACTCCAGATATCATTCAAGATATTGCCGTAGTGCCCTTCTCCGACGATGGTGAAACATCGTCCGTGTACTCCTGCGACACGGAAGGGTATTACACCTCGTTCCACGTGGACTCCGGCCTGAAAACTTTAAGGGAAGAGGATCCAGTTCCTCAGAGTCCCTTGACAAGGTCCAATGACATCAGCTCCGATCCTACCTCACCGATTGTCGAGAACGAGTACGAACTGTTCGGAAGGGGGTCCACTTCTACGACAACGAGTTCCGCGGGCACAGTTTGTACCGCGTTAATGGCGCCTCCACCACCGGAAAGAAAGTCTAGCCTTACCGTTGTTGCTATGGTGAGAATAATGTGTTGTTAACTTTCAGACGATCCTCATCGATTTTACACTAAACCTACCGCGACCAAATGACCGTTTTTAAAATTTCGTTTAGAATTTCTAACACGCGATATTATTTTAGCGCCATTTAACTTCACGACTATTCTTATAGTATACGTACAATGAATTTTACAATATTCACTTCTATTTTTATTGTTTGTTTTCGGAGAAAAATGTGTTGAATGATTTATATTTTTTTGTAAAAAAACTGGGAAAAATTTGGTACCAAACTCTGATTAGTTTTCGATGTAAATAGGAAATATATGTGTAGGAAAGACGAAAGAAGAGAATCCTCAGTTTTCACTCTCTTAGAACAGTCTATCAACGCGTATTAAAAATAGTTAAACTTTAGACGCGTGCAGTTCCGAAACTATTAGTGTTTTATGAATGATTGAACCATCGTTAGAAGCGGTGAACCTTCCCCTTTAAAATGGCTTTTGTTTTTTGTCGATCCGACTATCCGTTTTCGAGATATCGTAATTTATGTAAAAGGTAATTTTTATAATTCCGCTCTCCTCCGTAGAAAAGGCTATTAACGCGCATAAAAATAGTTAAACTTTAGAAGCGTACAGTTCCGAAACTATTAGTGCTTTATTAATTATTGAGCCAATGTTAGAAGCGGTGAACCTTCCCCTTTAAAATGGCTTTTGGTTTTTGTCGATCCGACTATCCGTTTTCGAGATATCGTAATTTATGTAAAAGGTAATTTTTATAATTCCGCTCTCCTCCGTAGAAAAGGCTATTAACGCGCATAAAAATAGTTAAACTTTAGAAGCGTACAGTTCCGAAACTATTAGTGCTTTATTAATTATTGAGCCAATGTTAGAAGCGGTGAACCTTCCCCTTTAAAATGGCTTTTGGTTTTTGTCGATCCGACTATCCGTTTTCGAGATATCGTAATTTATGTAAAAGGTAATTTTTATAATTCCGCTCTCCTCCGTAGAAAAGGCTATTAACGCGCATAAAAATAGTTAAACTTTAGAAGCGTACAGTTCCGAAACTATTAGTGCTTTATTAATTATTGAACCATCGTTAGAAGCGGCGAACCTTCCCCTTTAAAATGGCTTTTGGTTTTCGTCGATCCGACTTTCCGTTTTCGAGATATCGTAATTTATGTAAAAGGTAATTTTTATAATTCCGCTCTCCTCCGTAGAAAAGGCTATTAACGCGCATAAAAATAGTTAAACTTTAGAAGCGTACAGTTCCGAAACTATTAGTGCTTTATTAATTATTGAGCCAATGTTAGAAGCGGTGAACCTTCCCCTTTAAAATGGCTTTTGTTTTTTGTCGATCCGACTATCCGTTTTCGAGATATCGTAATTTATGTAAAAGGGTATTTTTCTCAATTTGACTATCTCTGTCTCCGTCTGACGCGTCGCGTCGTACCTCTTTGTCGCACGTGAGTCGTGACTGTCGTGACCTACTTCCGCGTAGTATTTCCAAGAATTTACTACGCACTGTTTACTATTTTCGCGCGCGCGAGTTCATTGATCTCAATGAACGTAAACAAACGCTTCGAGGCCTCGTATCTCCGAAACTAGCCACCGCGTCGACTTGAAATTAAAATCGCTATATCTCCGGAACTAATAAAGCTATCGACTCGTACGACCGCTCGTTTTAAAGGGCATTTCATCCCCTATATAACGATCATATCAAATATTATAATTTTTTTTATCTTCTATGTGTATTTTGAAATTTACTTTGACACTACATACCTAAAGAAGTTTCAGCAATTCCTACTGATCGTACGACTAAACTGGATCATAAATTATTTATTTAAGTAAAAATTAACTTAAATTTAAATACACAAAGTTTGCGTAATTACTAGCCAGTCTTTTTCTTAAGTAGTTGTTTTCTTTAGAACCAACTACGGTATCGACTTGGAACAAAATTCGTTTTCAAGTGCGCTTTATCTCCTATCCTATAAAACAGAAGGATATGTTGCGAATAAACATCAAAACACAACTTTCGTTACGCATTTTCTATGTCTCCTACATTTTCTGTAACTTTGTCATTTTTGCGAGATTTCCATTAATATTTTAGGAGGTTATTCTTAAGCCCCCAAACATTGAAAAGAGAACTTCGATTTTTTGAACCCATCACAGTGGTTTCCCCTTTACATGAAATTCGTCTGATCGATAGGTTCATGGACAAAACCAAAATGGTGGCGAGTCTCCGGACAGCGGACACAATACCTCATCCTCGCCCGTGGAATCGGCCTCGAGTCCAGCCTGTACGGGACGTTCGTGCTCGGAATTCGAGTACTCCGAGTCCAGTGATCTCGAAGGCTGTGAGAGAATCGAGAGAATTCGCTCGAAAACGGCGATCAATACTAGTCGTATACCGTCCATGTGCGTGATCACGCCACCGGGTTCGGACGACGAGCACGCGAGGGAAACGGATCAAGTAAAGAAGACGAACGAGACGAGAAAGTCCGATCTACAAACCGGAGGCGCGGTCCTCATGTCCGCCACCGTCGGAACGTCCAAGATGGAGGTGATCAACGGGCAGGATAAAAATCTGTACGCCACCGTTCAGGTGTTACCTTTGCCGATCAACGATAGATCCGCCGTTGGACAGCAATCGTCCAAGATCAGTCCGCTCAGCGGGGTTCTGGGCAAGCTTCGCGGCGTGCTTCCTGGCAGGAAGCACGCGACGAAGAGTGCGGTTCCGGACGAAGTAACCGCAGACTCCGGCGACTATGTCACTATAGCCGACGTGAGAAACAACAACGACAAACGTCAGGATACCGGTTCGTCGTCTAGCACCGCTCCAGTTCGATCCACGACCTACGCGAACTCGGATATCTTCAAGAAGGACGCCGAGTATGTTAGTTTAAGCGAATTACCAAAAAAGCCAGACTCCTCTTTAGAGAGGAAACGACAGGGCGCCAGAGTCACGCTGGACTCGGAGGGCAAAGTCGTCTACTCGTCCGACAGTTTGAAAAGAAGGAAAGGGGCCCACACTACGTTCAACCCAGGTACGTCTCGCTGTTCGTTTACCATTAATTCGTGTTCAAATGATAATAATATCTAACAATTTCGTTCGTTGACACTTTATAGCAGTGTTTCTTAGACTGTGATCGTGGACCCCTGACGGTCCGCCAGCTCTCGAACGAATAATAGAGGCATATTATAGCGGAATTAGAAAAATGCTTCACGCAGTAAGGCCATAACATTCTTTATTCAATTCTGCACCGCATGGTCGTGCAAACAGCCTGCTCTTTATTAGCCTTGTTCAAATACAAGAAGATCGAACCTGGAACCTGAACCAATATTATTTTCTTACCGTTTCGTTTCTGAACGTCAATCTTATCACATTTTCCATTCTGCTTATTTAAAGCATTAAAATACAGCACAGTTTATTTGATTTTTATCTGAAAGTCGATTAATTTATTATTACAGAGTTCACTAGATTTGTGTACAGATGGAATTAGATAAGAATTTTTAATTTACATTCAGTTTTACAATATGTTTGAAACATAATAGTTTAATTTTACTCTAGTTGGCTTACGTGTTTTCCGTTGTCGAGGGTGTCCGCGAAAAGGCGAAGTTTGAGAAACACTGTTTTATAGTTTAAGACCCATAATAATCTTATTAACGCATGTTAACCTGATCATGTACAATCATGCATTTTGTAAATAGCTAGACGGATTGCCAATCACATAAAACAGAAGAAATGATAAGTGTATATTAAACGATTCAAGATACTCCAGGAACGATTCTTTTTATCAGGTTTCCAAACTGTCGCGTTGTGCAATAGAGGGTTAAAGTGATACAGTATTAAAAGAAAATCAAACATTTTACATTTTCGTTTTCTTTCGATGTTCTTGATGTTATGCTATCGCTCGATACTCATTTCGTAGAGAGACAATCAACGAATAACGCGATTTGTTTGATTCCAGAGTCCTTGTTTGATCCTCTTTTTTTATGTGATTGGTAGATATTGTAAAGTATCCGAAAAAAGAAAACCCCTGAAAGGAATGCAGCATGAAACACCAACGTCGCTTCCATGACGCCTTTAAACGAGGCTTATGGGCGCATCATCTTGTCCCACAGGCACTTGCTCATTCTTAATAGGCAACTATTAAGTCAGCGTCCGGCAGTCTTTCACATTGTCACTTTAATCAGACCCACCGATGGTGCCAAAAGTTCTTCTTGGAACATAATAATACCAACTTGTTCACGAACTAAATTAAACGATAACTACCGTTAATATAGATACCATTTCTAGGAATTAAAATCACGAAGAAAATTATAAAGAAATTATTAAGAATCTTCTACTCTAACGAAAGAAGATACCAGTTGTTCTTTATTAATTCTAATCATATTAATGCTTGAAATAATTTTACAGTGGTCGAAATAATTTGATTAACTATTTTATTCAAGATTTTTTATAATTGTACATTTTTCAGATAAGTTTAGTTGAACCTATAAACTCCTATTAATAATAATAACAAACTTTGTGTTATAACATTTCTGTATAAAATAAATATAGGTCTAAATAATAATCCTTTATTTTGTGTCGCCTGAAATATTTTTTTAGGCATCGACTATGATTTTTTACAAATTTTTGAAGTTGCATTTTAACTTTTAGGCTGTTGCAACCAAACTCGAGTGGTGCAACATTGTTAGGGCATATATTTGCGGAACTGTGTCAACTACCGTGATATATCTTCAAGAATATTCATAGAGATAGGAGCAGAAAACATACGACTGCGAATAGTAAACCAATAATTATTTCGGTCGCTGTGTGTTTCATTTAGCGAATTAGTAGTCACTAAAGAATTTAATCTTCTCATGCAACACAGTACACGTATATTTTGTATACTAGCATTAGTACAGGCGTGTAGGAGATGCAATTTTTTACAGATTGTATTATATAATGCAGGAAATTCGCGTAAACGGTGGTTCAATTTATTATCCTCTTTATTATTATTATTTTCTTCGAACGAGCTATTCTTTAATCGTGTTACAAACAGCAATACGGTGCAAATGCGTGGGCAGAGATAATTGGCGATATTGTAATCGGACCCGGTTTCCTTAATGGGAGATTAATTAAGGTCAAACTTAAATCAATTTCTTGAGTAATCAATCGCATGAGTTATTGGAGGAAGTTCCATTAGATGTTATACGTCGCATGCGGTTTATGCATGACTGTGCACCGCCACATTTCAGCCGAGCAACCCGGACAGTTCTTGAATGAATGATTTTCTGATAGGTGGATAGAGTCGTACGCAACATATTTCCTGTTCGTTCTTCGAATTTGTATTTATTAGGTCATTCATAAAAGTTTGTTCGTTAAACATTGTCGTTAGGCATGCGGAAAGGTAGCCAACAAATATAATAAATGTCTGGTATGTTTGAAGGATTGAGAATTTCCACGATTCGACGCGTACAGTCTTGTATTTTTTCTATAACTTGAGAACACATTTTTCATTGTTTACGTGCTTCCAAATAGACCACCTGAGTTTCCCCCACACGTTACCATGCATATTGTGTACAATTTTAAGAGACTAGCCTGGATCAGAGGACAGGTATCATGAAAGAATGCAAAGCTAAGAATTCATATATTGTGGACGAAAAGTTAGAAACATATTTCATTTCCATGATCACTGCCATTTTACGTGGAGACACACCTGGATCTCTCAGGTCCACTTTTAAGGTTACGATCTTAGTATTTCAGCAGCTTGATACGGACTAAGGCTACTAAGGCTACTAAGGGGATGTTGTGAGGGTTAACTTTGCATTCTTTCACGATCCACCTAAAATATGCTCGTACCGAGAGGAGCAAATGAAATGCTATCTTTTTTAACACGTATCGAAGGCGTACATTTAAAAATTGTTTAAAGGTGTGGGCCAGTTACAAGCGATTATTTTCAACTAACGTGTGTTCTGTGTACGTTGCAATTCAGGTCCATTCGTGAGAGAAGGGGCGTCCCCGAGCCCGTCGCCGTTGCTGCACCGCGCTATTCCGAACGTTCGAGCGGTCGCGAAGACGAACGACACGGTCGACGGGGGAAGCAAATCGACGCCGCCCACTTCGCCGCAATTAGGCAAGTTGATCATCAGAGCGGCGAGGAGTCCCGATCGAGCGGCCAGCCCGGATTACGTACGAACGCCGTCGACCGTGGTGGGGCCCACGAGTCCCACGACTCCGCATCGGCAAGTTCGCGGGGCGTACGTGAACGTGCAAGACGACGAAGGTAAGACGGCTTCTGGTACGAGCTCTGACGAACGTGATTGCACTGGCTACGTCGGTAGATTAGAAGCACCGTTTGCATTTACCGAACCTCGCACGAACGACGAGGCGATCGCCAACGGAAATCCATTGGTTTCGGGGGAAAGCACGTGTCGTACTGCCGCTGGAACATTGGCACTGGCGCCGAGTAACAAAGTCCGGGACTCTAACAAATCCAACCTCTGCCCTAACAAAACGTACGTAGATAGGTTAACGGATGCGACCGCTCGCGACGAGAATCACCCTCCGGAGCTTGGTAACGTTAGCCTCGACGGGCAGAGGGACCATCGAATTGTAAATAGAACAGACGAATCGACAGACGTTAAATCGAACTTACGGCTCGACTTCGAGAAGTCGGCTCTGTGCCCGAAAAGTTTCAGGCAGACCGGGAACACGCCGAAATTGAGTAGGAAGCTGCTCGTGTCGGATCTCGACACGCCCAGTTTTTGTAGGAAAATCACGAGGCTGGATAGTCGATCCGTCGATGCGAAGGATGACGATGGTCGCGCGAGATGCGCGGATAAATCGTTGCTGGCCGTGTCCACGATCGACGGTCCTAACGAGAACGATACGGACGCCTCGGACGTTTCCGAGACGTGTCCTGATAATAGTTCTGCGAAGAAATCCGACGCGTTTAGAGGCGATAGGGTCGAACGTAAAGTAAAACGAAGCGAGAGCTATCGAATGGCGAACAGTCCGATAATGTTTATCAAAAAGTTCTCCACCAACACGGACAAATCGTCCAAGATATGTAGAACGCCGTCGGAGGAGTTGCAGGAAGAATTGTTGAAGGAGAGGATCAATTATCCGGAGACAATTTCTAGTCCGGAGCCTCGAGTCGATAGCAACGTGAATTTCGACATGAATGTAACGATCTCTATTCCTATCGCGACGGTTCCAAAGAGTCCTCGACCCAGGGCTACGGATATCGAGCTTGCCAGAGTGCTCAAATATTCCGGAAACGATACAGAGATCTGGTGATCGATGAAAGGATCATCGAATGGGTGCTTTCGACAGAATATTATAATATCTCAGCGTACTCGACTCGCAAAACCATTTGTTTTAAACGGAAAATGAAAGAATTTTCGTTTGCTTGCTCCTTTTGTACAACGTATGCCTGCGAAAATAGCAGAAATATCCTACCATAGTTCGTTTCCACGATTTTACAAGTACGTCATGAAGTAGTAAATAATAAAATGATACCATCTTGAATTCGTATTCGAAGTAATGTCGATTCCGTGACTTTCTAAGCAGACGTTTCATTGCTCGGAACGCCTCTGCGTCTCCTTCGACGAGCCGTTACGTAAAACGTGCACGCGATAATCGTCGAAGGCGAAACGTAAGAGCAGAAAATAGATCGATCGGCGGGAGATCTCATCAAGGACCAATACGACACAACGATCGGCGAGAAAAAAAGGGGACAGATGTAGGAGTTCATCGACGGATCGGTGCCCGTTACGTAAAAGAAGAGCCGTGACAACGTGGAGAGTGCCATTGCATGAAATTAATGAGGGCAAACGACAAACGATCCGTTCGACGGTCACGATAACGAGATCGTACAATGTTTTTCCGCGTTAACGATAGGAGAAACATAACTAGTCACGTTTTCCAGATCAATCGATCCGTTCGATTTTCGTCCAGCTGCACCGAGGCGCCGCGAAACCCCCGTGCGCGGCAATGTTACGGGACGATAAACGCAAATCCGCCGTTCGCTACGTATACAGCGCGGAATATTTTAGAGTTCAATAGTTTCATCGATAACTCTGACAAAGCAATCCCAACGAGGCATGCCTTTCGCAAGGTTAATAGATAACCGTCGCGTTCCCGCTAGTTTCTTTGTTTTTAACGCACTATGGATCTCACTTCTCCTCTTGGTCTATCGTCCACAGATTACACACCATCGAGACCATTAAAAATGCATCCTCCCTTCGTCGCGTGCAGACTCTTTCACTTTCGACTCGCCAAATCATGCGTATGTTCTTCAAGGTAACTGGAAATCTGCTCCCTCGGTTCTCCAAATCAATTTTCACGCGATTCATATCCATCGTTAACCTGTCTAAAAAATTTCCATGACAGAAATATTTCGTCGCACCTGGTTGACAGGTTGAGACGTCCCCATCGACCGAATTCCGGTGAAAGTTGTTCGTTTGTTAGTCGCGAGCCATCAATCTGACGCAACAACAGCCCCCGTTTGCTCGTCGAGAATGTTGTTTGAGTTGTTATCCTTTGTAACCTGGCGCCGATCGACGAGGAAGAACGATCGCCAGACGAGAGTAAATAGGAAATCTTTAACGAACGGAATGTAATAACGTTGGGAGCGAGGGGGTAGGGGGGAGGGGGCCAAAGACGATAATGCTGGAAAACTCCAGGGAGCCCCCAATGAAGCCTCACTTTGTTAGCCCTTATCAGCATCATTAGCCGCTGGCTCAATAACCAACGGAATTGCATCAGACGCGATGTTTATCCCGGCCGATAATTCCAAATCCAGATAAACAAAATTCCCTCCTACTTCGCTCGAGGATTGAAATACTTTCGAGCGAATGCCGCAGCCCTCAGTTCGTTTCGATCTGTTCACGTTCGCGGTTTAAAGTCGCTAATACTGCCCTCGAAACCCCTTCGATCTCACCCCCTTCGAAGCTCTTTTGTCGAGTTGGGTCAGCTCGGTAGAATCGGACTGACGCAACTTCGCGAATCTATTGCTCGATTCTACCCAGCCGAGGAATCGAAAGATCGGTCCTCGCGCGGATATTTCGATTTCGAACAGGTCTCCGTTAAGCCTGTCGTAACGGTTTATCAATGACCGGTCGATTCTTGTTCGTCCAATGCCGTGGATACTTGCACGCACGTCGGAAAGTTGTTAGGTCTTCGCGCGTGAACGGGTTCGGTGGTCTGGAGAGAACGAATTCGCATTTTTAGTAGGGGGGCGATGATAAGCCGGTATCAGTCCACCAGCGAAGAGGAAAACTTGTCGCTAGACAGGCGGTCGCCAGTCTCGATACGCGCGTACATTCGGTTGTAAAACCAGTGTCGGTATACGCGATTTGACAACCGAAACTGGCTGCAGTCGGGTTCCATCATGCTGGCAAGGCACCTTCTTTTTATAGCGACGAGACGACACAGTAAGTCAAGGGAATACCTTTCTTTTAAAAACGTCGCTGTTCACACAATTGCGTTCAGAAAGTACTAATCTCCGTTTGGCATAATTTCTCTGGTACGAATCGGTGCGAGACGCTTAATGTTACGAGGATCAATCGGGCCCCAAATGACCCGAAAACTTTGTTTTTTGACAAATTTGTTATATGACCAATGTGGCGAAAAATTCCTTTTTTAAATGTGACAAATATGAGAGAACAGTATGTAGAAAATATTCTCAAGGGAAGACTTTGTTGTTGTTCGTGGGAGAATATTTAATTCGAATATCATTTTTATTTATTTCGATAAACTTGTACATCGATAGTGAATCTCCTATTTATTTGATCAACGAAAGATATATGGAAAAGTTGTACGACTTGCAGAGTGGTATTATCTAGCGTATAAATTTATTTCCTAGGTGAAGATTCGAAGGTTCAATTTGATTTTTCATATATATGAAATGTCAATAAATTCCTAGAAATATATTACTTTGAACCTAATAATTTCTCGATAATTTGTTTCAATATCATCAAAGATTTCACTAAAACAGTGTTTATCGACGCAAATAATATTACCTCATTACGTCCGTAATTCAGTATCGAAGATATCAAAGCAAAACTGTGTCAAACCGTAATCTTGAATTTTTATGCATTTATTTTTGAATATTCGAGAAACGGAGCACAAATATCTCGTTAATTACTAGGATTAGGATTATTCATCCATAACATTTTTATTTAAAATTCGATACACTTTCAAATTTTTACAAAAAATATGACATTTATATCTCCAAAACGATACAACTTTAAATTACAAATTATTCCAGGTGAGCATGTTAGGTGTCTCGAACTGTATCTCGCATGATTAATTTTTACAACATTGCGATTATCAAGGGCGGTCAAGCATGTATTTTGCAATTTTATTCGTTTTTAAATTTACATCGCTTTGTGTTGCATTTTTACAAAGAAAAATATGGCTGGTGCGCAGTGAAGCGATAAAGTCGAGCTGAAGTAAGACTGTTCTGATATTCAGAAGGTAATAATTCTTTGTTTAGTGTCGTCGTTTCCAAATTATCACCGATACCCAGTAAACGCAGATACGTAAATATCCCGTTATTTTTCTGTCGCGTTTTTATCTTCTATTTTAATGTTTTATTTGCCAGTATTCATTGTTTCCAATATGTTTTTTGATTACACCTCAAGTAGAGGTTAAAGATTTGAATTATCTATTACTCATTCTCTTATGCATGTTTTTTCTCCTATTCAGGCAATTTTACAGCCGTTGTCTTTGTCCCTTTTAATCGTAATTAAACTATTCATTTGATCTTTATAATGTTACATGCATTTTGTGCATTTCTAGAGAACGAAAATAATTATAATTATTGGTTTCATTACAGTAAAAATTGTATAATTTTTATCAATAAATTCTATTACAAGGAAGCATGCTATAGATTAAAAAATTCTACGTAAATATAGAATTTGGAAACAAGAATTTAAACATTTTTAACGATTATCACAAATTAAGATATACAATTGATCTTTCGTGTATAATAGAATTTATAATTTTCCAATTAAGTGTTTCCAATTAATTAGTTGCACAGCAACTAAGGTGTAACATTTATTAAATTTAATTGAACGACTCTGCAGGAATTTTCCGTCGACGTTTCTGCTACTCGTTAACTAAATATAATCAAGCTGAATATTGCCAATCTCACGTTACGAAATATTTCAATTCATAACGAGTGTCGCCATGTTGTTATAAATAACCACGAGTTAAATAACTTCCAATCAATGATTCGTCCGAGCGTTTACCAAAGTCGGTTTTTTGCGAAACCAT